CACAATGTTTGTGACTGAGCATCAAGAGAAACTCTTGAACTCCCTGGCAGGCAAGCTAAGATTAGAAACATAAGAAGTGGCTAAGATCAGAGCGGTAGGTGTTTGGTGTGGCTGAAATGAGAAACAAATGTTTTTCCATGACTTAATTCTAAAAGAAATTTCTTACATGGACTTTATACAAAGAACATTGGCAAACGTATCAGTGCCCTGGGCGGTGATTTTATAGCAAATGCATGAGGAAGGATTTTTATATGGTTATTTTTCTATAAACATTTACTGGATGAATTGATAAATAAATGAATAAACAAGTAACTGATAAATCTCTACACACTCAGCTGCATTCTCCCTGCATAAACTCCTCATAACAAGTCAGTGTGACAGAACTGAAAGTCTAATGCAGATGACAACCACTCCTAAACTAATAAAGAAATTCCTCAGAAAGCCTAAATTGTGTGGTGATATTAAATATTTTAATCAAATGAAAATATTAGGAACATTTGTATTATCTCCCCGCAGCTCTAACAATGTAGGAAAACCATACATCTTGGAGTGCTGCCTAATTGCCTTATAAATTCATAGAGCTTTTATAATGAAACAGTCTGCACTGTTCGCTCCAGATACGCATACGCTGTTTTAAAGCTCAACCTAAAAAAAAAAAGAAAATATTTTCAAGTATTCCTGGAATATATCTATTCCCCATACCACTGAGGTATGAGAATGAGAACAGCAGCTGGGCGCAGCTCTGCCCTTTGGCCTCTCTGATTCTGTTGGCTAAGGCAACTCCTTCCATTCAAAACCCCACCTCCTCATTCGTTACCTCAGACTTCAAGAGAGGAAATTCTTTCATCCCACAGCAGTTTCATGACTTTTCTAGACTCCAACCTCTAGAGTTCACCTCAAGAACAAACAGAGGGAGTGGCAGGAAATACCCTAGGAGACATACAGAGTTTTGGACAGGGTGTCCCAGTAGTAGACAGTGCCTCCTCCTGAATACCGATATCCTGGACTATGTTTTTCTTTTTTTGCAGTGCTAGGAATGGAACCCAAGCCCATAAACATGCCAAGCATGCTTTCTACCCCTGCTCTACACCCCTAGCCCTGGACTACATTTATTTTTATTTTTTTGTACTTTATGTGTTGCTTTTTATTTTTATTTATTTATTTTTATTAAGTTTATTGGTGCATTTTAGGTATACAACTACAGTCATCATTGTGATCTTGTACCTTTACATGATGTATCTTGGTTCATATTTTTTCCCCATTCCCCTGCCCTCCCTTCACCCCCTCCACCCTTCCCTACTTACAAAGACATTGTTTCCATGTTTTCCCTTTTCTCATATTTTTTCTTTTCCCTTTTTTCTTTTCCCCTACCTCTCCCACTTCCCCTACTCCTTTAGAACTTTTCTTCCTATTACACATTATCAATTATACATTTTGAATCTTATTTACATTTTTAGTTTTTCACACCAGAGAAACAATTTGGTATTTACACATATGTGACTTAATAATTTCACTTAAGAAGAGTATGTGCATCCACTTAGCTCTAAATGTCTCTAGTTTCTCATTCTGTATGGCTGAGTAGGATTCCATTTTATTAAAAAAAAAGACCCACATCTTCTTTATCAAGTCTCCAGTTGATGGGCAATTGGGCTGTTTCCAAGTTTTAGCTATTACCTGGACTACATGAAGGCTTTTTCTTTCTCGGTATCCTCTGATTTTTTTATGTCTGTGTTACTGAGACATGAAAGGTAGGTTTGTCTTAGTAAGAAAGCAGCCAGGTTTGGCAGAACAGCTCTAAAGCAAGAGGAGCCATGGACAGAAGGCGATTTAGCTATTCTGGACTACATGAAGGCTTTTTCTTTCTCGGTATCCTCTGATTTTTTTATGTCTGTGTTACTGATTCATGAAAGGTAGGTTTGTCTTAGTAAGAAAGCAGCCAGGTTTGGCAGAACAGCTCTAAAGCAAGAGGAGCCATGGACAGAAGGCGGCTCATTCGTCCCCTCATGGCCGCGATGCTGTGAGTGACCCCTCTGTCCCATAAGCCAGGGACAAACATCCCCACCTCAAAGAGCTGCTGGGGATAATGATGCAGAGATTAAGCATATGCTTATTACATTACTAATACATATCACAAAAACTATTAATATTATTAATTGATGTTTTTAATTTCACATGATAGCAATAACAATAATTTTAAAAGTTATGTGAATCCCATTTTCCTAACAAATCAAGCTACTTTTGCTAACCTACAACCTCTTCTAGTCCTAATCCACATGATTTTCACATAGTTAAGATTATATCACCAGGGATGTAGCTCAGTGGCACTGCGTCTGCCTGGCAATCTCAAGGTCCTGAGTGCGATCCCCAGTACCAAAAATAAAAATATTATACCATAAATTCAATCTTGCATTCTGACTTTTTTCTGCTAAGATTATACACCAAATATTGTCTGCTACCTAAAAATCATTGAATAATGATTTTAAAAGCTATATGTACTCAGGGACAATAAGATACAGTGACCCTTGCTATAGCATTAGCAGTGTCCTCTGTATTTCCTAAATTAAAATCCTTCAGATCACTGACGTTGGCCCTCCAAGGAACCAAACCCGGTGGAGTAAACCATTATCACACAGAAGCAAGCAAATCCGTGCGCATAGAGGACAATGGAGCACTATTTACAAGCTTTGACACTGCTGGGTTTCCAGTTGCTAAAATGTGCAAGTGCACCTCGGGATAGGATCCCTCAAGGGCGCTGCCTTTCCGAGTGCAAAATCTCCAGCACAGGCCAGGAATACCTGAAGCAAGGCCTGCCCCGGCATACAGGGTCTTCCCTGCCCCTCGTGCAGGAGCGTGGGCAGGAGGTAGGAAAAGGGCAGGGAAACAGGCAGAATGGCCTGTCCCAGACAGAGCTGGCGGGAAAGAGCACAGACTGGTTCAGGAACGAAGGACAGCGCCCGTTCAGACGGGAACATCGGGTGTGGATTGGGAGGCAGCGGGGCACACATGATGTCAGAGTGAGCTTGAGACCATACTTTCCGCGGCTAATAGTGCTTTATTCCGTGACTCGGGCAGGTCCCCGGGACTTGAGAAGCTCCCAGAAGGCAAGAGGCAACCCCGGAATGGAGCTCCTGGCCAGTAGGCTCTCAAGCCCAAGGGCCAGCTCTGGGCCAGATGCCCATACAAAATCATGAGCTCTAGGACTGGAGGCCAAGCGAAGGTCCACCGGTGAGGGAGGAGGCATTGCCCAAAGAGATGACAAGACAAGCGGGGAAACTGCAAACAGTGACAATATGGACAAAGACACGGATGTGAGAATGATGAACGCACTACTTATGGGGGAAGAGAAATTTTGCAAGGAAGAAAGATGAAGGGGAATAAAAAGGATGATAATGGATAGGCCAGAACGGAAACCTTTATTTCTTTCATACGCCACACCTTGCATTGTGGAGAAAGCCACGACAAAGCTGGAGAAGATCTTACATCCCACCTTGCTCCCTGAGACTCTTGTGCCCAGCAACCTGTACAGGAGCCGGGTTTCCCATACTGTATAGTTACAGTTGTATTATTTTGGTCAAGGTTGCTCTTGATAAAGCCACTCATTCATCTAAGAAACATTTATTGTGCGCCTCTCCAGGAAGAAAACTGGCTACAAAGTTGGCACAGTGCTTACAAAACCCCATAGCTGAAGGGAACTTCTTTCTACCCAGCACGTAACTACCCTGAGGAAAGAGCCTTCCTACCTGGTGCATCAAAACTCTTTATTCTTTCTTAGGAAAATCTCATTCTAACACAGCATAAGCAGCTTCCTGCTGGAGAAGGTTAGGTTTTACTCATTTGTTGCTGATAAAATAAATATCCATAGGAACCAGATGATCCAAGCTGGTGTCTTTGTTTTTACAGTCAAATCTGCAGCCCAAAGCACTTCCAAGAAACCATTCTCTCCCCGCTCCAGATCCCTGACCTATGAGCCACTAACAGTGGTTCCAACAAGAGGTCCGAAGCCAAGTTCCCATCTCAAAGGTGCTTATTCTGGGGGATCATAAAGATGATTTGTTTTCTGAAAGGTGGAGTGGGGGTCCAAATAGCACAGTTCTGGCCTCAGGTGAAGGCCCTCTGGCTGCATTATAACATGAAAGAGAAGCAGGAAAGAAAATGGCCACATGCACAAGGGGTCAAGGCATAGAGTGGCCTTGCTTTACAACAATCTGGTCTCTCAACAAGTTTGGTCGTAGGGGACCCAACCCTCTCCTGCAAGATGACATTAATCCATTCACCTCTTAAAGGATGTACCACCTCAACTCCACCCTCCTGGGGACCACACTTGTAGAGCATGAAATTTTGAGGGTTAAACCATATCCAAACCATTGCACCACTGCTCTTGACTGGTTCTGCTCCATCTTCCCAATGCCGATACCCGCCTTGTAATCACCTGCTCCCTTTGTCAAAACAACTGTTTCGGCCACAATTTGGCTTAAAACTCTTCAGATGGCAACAACTGGGCCTCTCCCTCAGGTGAGAATGCAAATAGCCCAGACAGAACTCAGCACATGAGCAATTATCATGGAAATAGGCCTTTAGAAACACTACAGCAAAAGGATTTGTCTAGCACAGGTTTACAAAGACCTACATCTCTACTCAAGAAAGAGAGCCTTTTATGCAATTAAAATGAATCCTCCATCTGTCTAAAAGCCACTTACATAAAGAGCCCCTTCTCCCCTGCCTCCACTGTTCTTCATTTCTGCTGCAGGTCACGCTTTCGGGCCCGTGGAGCCCAGGCCGACAGCTAACGTAAGCAGCACTGTGTTCCGCCTGGAGCTAACTGAGGAGAGAAGCCCCTTGGCAGAGAGTTTGCTTCAAACATACAGAGGAGCAATCCTTCGTGGGTAGCATTTTCCCCCACACCCATTAGCATATAGTTCCATCTGCAACCCGCTGTGAGCAGTTTGGGAGTATGATAAAGTCTGAAAATATTACATACGTATGTCTGTACACACACTCACCCAGAGCACGCCTCTGAGCAGGCTGGATGAAGGGGTGGCTTTCCTGGAAAGGGCTCAAATCTCATCTCTCCACACCTACGCACAGACGCACACTCATTTGCCCCTTTGAAAGATGAAGGCGCTAAGCTCTCTGCTTCCCAAGGTGGACTTTTCAGACTCTGGGAGTGGCCTGCTTGCTGTCCACCTCTCAGAGGCTCAGGAAGTGTAAAGCAGATCAACTGGCAGGGGTGGGAGGGCATGAATGTCTCACGGGTGGCAGCAGAGGCCTGACCCTGACACCTGCCTTCCGGGCTGACCGCAGGCTGGTCCTGTTGTCCTGTTCTTCTGCTCTTTCGTCTGTGAGAAACCACAGTCCAAGGGCACAAGGGGCACCGTAAAGCTCCCAGCACCCCGGGCTTGGGTGTTGCGCAGGTGTCAGCTCAGTCCGCTCTGCTGCTCACTGGCTACCAGACCTCCTGCGAGCTCTCTTCATGCCTCTAGATTTCTTTTTCCTTATGTGCAGAACAGGGACAACAGTGCCCGTCAGTTGTGTTGCTGAGATTAAGTGAGCTAATACAGACAAAAAGGAAATACGCCAGTAAGTGGCAGCTCTCACGTTGTTTGGCATGCTTTATTTCCTCCTTAATTACCTAGTAGAATAGGAGTGCTTTGAAGGCAAAGATAACAGCTTCTAACTACTATACTGCAACGGATAAACACAATGCCTGCTACACACTAGACACTCAAATATTTGTTGCATTAATAATTAACTGTAAATTGGAGAATTGGAGCCCACAGCACCTCTGATGGTTAGATTTTATGGGTCAACTTGGCCAGGCCATGGTGCCCAGATACTGGGTCAAACATTCATTATTCTAGATGTTTCTGTGAAAGTATTTTTGGGGGTGAGATTAACATTTTTGTGTGTGCGTGTGGTACTGGGTATTGAACCCAGAATCTTGCATAGGCTAAATGCACAGTCTACTGCTGAGCCACACTCTGAGTCCCCAAGATTAACATTTAAATGGGAGGATTTCAAGGAAAGCAGATTACCATTCACGAGGTATGGGCCTCAGCGCATCAGCTGAAGGCCTTGATTGAAAAAGACTGACCTCCCCTGAGCAAAACAGAGACTTCTGCCAGCACCCTGCCTTTGGTCTTGAACTACAACTCTGCCTGAGTCTCCTGCTGGCCCGCCCTGCAGATTTGGGACCCACTGAGTCTCCATAATCACATAGGACAATTCCTTAAAATAAATCTACCTCGATATATATCTTGTTGCTTCTGTTTCTCTAGAGAACCCTAGCTAAGACAGCACCGTGTCTGTTAATGGAGAAACCAACCAACAAGGTACGCATTTACTCTCCTTCACCTGCATATGTGGTTAATACTACGTGCACGGCACTTTCCTAAGTTCAGTTAGCCACGAATCATACTCATAGCCTCTTCCTTGATTTTCACACGTGTGGTAGAAATCATGTGTCTTCTATTTCAAGAGAAGGGGAAAATGGAGCTCTGAGAGGTCAGTTAACTTTCCCCAGATCACATGGTGTGGTAGATCGTAAAAATGATCCCAATTCGTCACCTCTCTCTGTTGCCAAGCTCTTTGCCATGTCACAGGTCCATCCACTCCAGCTCTGGGTTTGGCTATGTGACTTGATTTGGCCAACGAGATATTAGTAAACGAGTTGCAAGCAGGATCTTTACAGTTGCTGATGTGGCCTGACCTATGTTTACCCTCACTTCTGTCATTGCTGGAGAGTGTGCCTGGGAGAGCCTGCTAGACAGAGTGCAGACTCTCAACTCCCTACTCAGCTAACCCCCAGATAGGTACCGATCCACTAGGCCTGAGCCTCAGAACTAAAGAACCTCCTCACTGAGCCTGCCTCACTCCACAATCTGCGCTCCTGCCATTGCATCAGGGAGTGTTGGGTGTCACTTGAAGACAGTTCTCCCTGTTGGGACAAAACTTCTAAGAAGTTGAGAACAAGTTCCTTTGCAGTTCTTCCGCATAAAAGCAGCGTGTTTATTGCTTACCAGGTACCTAACAAACAGGTAAGCTAAGCACAGGCATGAGACATATCCCAGAGAAGCAGAGGGAACAACACCAAAATGCGGAAAAAAATTTTTTTAACTTGGTATTTCAAAACATAAGCCTGGAAGTAGTCATCACAACTTTTTTAGAATTCCTTATGCTATTTTATGGCTTAGGCTTTTTAAAATGAGAATTACAACTTGGAAGGTAGGTGTATCTCCATAATCTGTTCCTGGCTGGGGGCCTCTAAAGGGCCAAGGCACCCCACAGCCCACAGAGCTGCCTCGGGAGGCCAGGGGTCTGCTTAGCCAAGTACCCACACAAGGCACGCAGGAAGTGGCCCAGGGGCAGCGTGGAGGCGGAGGGGCCATCCAAGAGGAGCTGGGCTTCTGCAATCTGTTTCCCACTGCTCCTGCCTATGAATCATCTACATCCACACTCCCTCACAACCTGCGTATTACATAAATAATGTACAAAGTGAGCAAAATCAAGCTACCACCACCACAGCTGAGTTTGACCTTGAATTATCATAGGAGAGTCAGGAGCCGGAGCTGCTTCACAGAGTCGTGGGATCTCTCCAGAACGGTAAGTTTGGCTTGGTTTCTTTACATCACTAATCACTTTTAGAAAGTCAGTCACCTTCAAGCCTCATGCCCCGAGGAAGCTGTCTTCAATGTCAGTTTCTCACCCAGTAAAATCTCTGAAAAAGAAAATAAAAGTAGGCTCACATGCCAAGAAGAAAAAGGAACACAAAGCCATCCCAGAAGACTTGGAATGCTGATGGAAGCCAACTTAGGGCGAGAGTGGGTGTAAGAGAGGGACGATTGCTAATTAAATGAGCAGGATCGTAAGTGTTGGAGCCTTTTGTAAAATCTGGGGATGAGAATCTTTATGTTTTCTCTTTGAACATTCAAAGGCCACACAAAAATATTACTGCCAGTTGGGCTGAACAGTGGCTTGTAGATTCTAACTTGCTTCCTGGAGATCAGCAGGAGAAACTACCAATGCTCAGGTTAGTTAGCAGTCAGAACAGGAAGAAGAAGGGAGTGAGAGAAGGTGGGGGGGGGAAATCTTTACTGAATACTTCCTGAGCACTTGTGCCAAGTATGCTCTCTTTCCATCTTCCCAGTCACCCTAGAAAGTCATCGATATTATTCCCATTGTACAGATGAGAAAACTCAGAGTGCTTAGGTAACTGGGCCAAGATCACTGAGCCCAGGGTAAATCGTGGGCCTGTCCTCACTCTTAACAACCATATTAGTTACCTTAATGAGTAAATGTTTCCCATTTGGGTAAAAGTATGTAGAGTTGCAAAGTACTTCACTCTGCATCAACACAAGAAATGGTTTGGTCTCAAAGCATAAAAGTTGTTTTTTGGGCCGGGGATTTAGCTCAGCGGTTCAGTGGCCTGCCTCGCAAGCACAAGGACCCAAGTTCAATCCCCAGTACCAAAAAAAAAAAAAAAAAAGTTGTTTTTTATTAGTGCATAATAGTTGCACAGACCCCTAGGTTTCACTCTGGCGTATCTGTACACACATACAACATACTTTGATCATTCTCTCCTCCATTATCCCTTCCACTCTTCCTTCCTCTACCTCCTTCCTCTTCTCTAATAGTCCCTCTTCTACTTTCAACATTTGGTGGGGGGGTACTGGGAATCGAACTCAGGACCTTGCGCTTGCGAGGCAGGCAGTGGCACCACTGAGCTAAATCCCTGGCCAACATTTTTTTTTAAATCAACTTTATTTAACAGAGTCAGCTTAAGCCTGCCTTAAGTGAATGCCAAGTGAATTTCCTTTGGTAGAGGAGGCATCCTGCTTCATCTTGGAAATTCTATTAACTTACATGGTCCTGCCTTCCTTCATCATTTGTTTCCTTTCAGAAAATATTTATTGAGCACCTACTAAGTGCCGGGCACCATGAGGACTCCTAGAACTTAGCACATAGAGTCCCTGTCCTAAAGGTTCACGATCTATACCTGGAGTTGTTCACGACAAATTATCCGAGACTTACAACCTATTTGTTGGGACTTGGGTGTCACAAACAAATTCACAGTGCAAGAAATATTAAGTAGAGTCTCTAGATCTGAAATCTTAATAACTGAAAACAGTTGACTCTAAATGACCAAATGATTATCAAACCTCCAACTAAGTCACCCACGTGCAAAATAAAATTTAATTAAAAAATAGTGTTGTTTTCACAATTCACTGCTTCTTCATTTAATTCTACCAGTATAGCACACTTCTAAAATAAAAGGAAGAGTCAAAACATTTCGGCTTTCTAAAACTGGACCAAAGCCAATGCACTGGGCTTCTGCTGTAGAACAACCAAGACCCTTTCTGTAAGCCTATAAATACATTTCAGCAGATGCTCGGACTCAAAGGGTCCAAGTGAAAGCCATCTCACTGGTCCTCAGAACCGTGTGCACGGCCTACTTTCCTGACTCCGCTCTAGTTTTAGAAGGATACATGTTAGGAAGCTATCGATGCAGAAATTATCTCTAAATGATAAGCTACCCCAGAAAACCCTACAACAGGTGACCCCGTAGAGGAGTGAGTAACTGCTGTGTCCTAGATCTACAAGGTCTCTTCTACTCTGAGCTCCCAATGGACATGAGAAATGTAGCCACTGGGCAGGCCTCTTCCCACACAGGGGGCCAAGCTCCCTGCTGAGCTGCTCCTGCTCTATCACCGACCACTCCGAAGGCCAAATCACGATCTGGGGAACGCCAGCCTGGCTCCGCTGCAGCCTTGAAATGGACATGGAGCCATCCACTTCTAGCTCGAGTTTTGCAACCTTACTGGCATGAGCACCTCTCTACAAGGTGGCCCAAAATTTGCAAAACAAAGTAATTTTTTTCACTTCATCTGAAAAAGGAGAAGAGCCAGCAAGTCCGTTAAGAGGCAGAGAAACACAGAGACCCCGTAAGGAGAGTATGAAACCACAATGTTAGTCAGAATAAACTAGAATAATTAGAATAAATTGGAACAAACGTGCCACTTCTTAAAAGCCAGCGCTTTTTCCATTTGCTCGCTACCGAAGCTGCAGTACCTGAACATTTCAGTGCTGAATCTGTGTCCAGAGAATGCATGAATGCACCGGTGAGGAGCACTTACTGTGTCTTCTGGGCTAAGCATTCCATCCTCAGCATCTCGTTTACAACCTTGACCTAGCAATCGGGGCCCTGATCAACCCTTCATCTGCCGTGAGGAAACTGAGATTCAGAACACTCACATTGTCTCTTCAGGGTCATGGAGATTCAGGGCAGCTCCAGGTTCGTGGGACCCGAAATTTATACAATTTGAGGATGCCTACTTTAAGAAAAAATATAAACGTCACAAATTCAAGTGCTTAAAAGTGAACACTCCTCTAGAAAGAAGACAGAAATTCCAACCAAGATCCAGAAAAAGAACAGTAATTTTTATCATTTGCTGGACATCTATTGTTATCTTTTCTTACATGTGTTGGCTACAGATTTGTTTTCTATAAAGAGAGCAGAAAAACAATGTGTTAGCTTTCCACTGCTGTAACAAAAGACCTGAGAAAGTCAACTTACAGGAGAAAAGATTCCTTTGGCTCCTATTTTCAGAGGTCCTTGGTCTGCTGGCTCTGTGGTTTGTGATGGGAACAGGAGGCACAACGAAGCTGCCCACCTCATAGCAGCCGAGAAAGGGTGTGGGGAGAGAAAGCAGCAGAAGAAAAATGAGGAGGAGGAGAGGGTTGGGCACACATTATACCGTTCAAAGTCACTCCCACTTCCCCCAGGGGGCCTCACCTCCTGACAACACATTCAGCTACGACTTCTTCAGGGGACCTGGGACCCAGCCTTTGGGAGACTTTCCAGATCCAAGCAACCACGTGTCATTTCTTTCCTGTCATGCGGTTGATCAAAGTTTATTTTTATTATCTTCAGCTGTGCGACCCATTATAGATGATAGTAGGCGAATCTCTAGGGTGGCTTTCAAACCTGGGGAAAGCTTTACCATGTTGCTGTCATATCTGAGCTACACCTGGGCATGTCAATTTTCCAGTCCATGTCAACCTGGAACCAACATCACCAACTTGGCAACAGCCCTTAATTAACCTGTTTGCTGTCAGCAGATATCTCTGCGATAGTGACTTAGTGAGTTTGTGTTATCTTTCTTCCGTGTCAGACTGGTAAGAAATTCAAATCTTTTCCCAATGTGAGCATGTGATGCATTCCTCCTCATTAAAGGATCATCAGAATTTCAAGGGCTTCTTCACTATTCCTAGTCAATATTTCCTCTTGCTGTAAATGAACGAGCAACATTTTCTTTCAGTAATGAGTGAGTTTAACAGGACCTCCCCAATGCTATAGATTAAACCTAGGGCCTTCACCCCTTTTTGTTTCTCATTTGAGATAGGATCTCTCTAAGTTGCCTGGGCCAGCCCTGAACTCACAGTTCTCCTGCCTTCGGCTGCTGAGTAGTTGAAATTACAAACATGAGCTACCACACCCAGCTCAAATATTTTATTATAACTTCCTTCTCAGTATCTACCAATTTTATTGCTCAGCTCCACCACTTCCATCTTGAATTTCTATCTTTATGTGAATTTTCTATCAGCTCTTTTACATGTTTAAAGATGACCACCAAAAATGTACCGTTTGTCTATGTTCAAATGAAGAACTGTGATTTTTCACTTGTTTGATTGATGCATCACCAAGTGGCTTTCCAAATTACACTCAAAACAGTGCATTCCCACTTCAACTCCCCCTTAGCAAGATTCCTAAAATTCCCTTGGCCATTCAGCACTGCCATAGACAAGAAAAAAAAGACACCAAGATGAAGTAAGAGCAGAAAGAGACGGCATGGCTAGGGCCCCACATGGGGCCTTGGAAGGGGCCTTGGAGGGAAGAACTCTGGAACTCTGTTAGCCTCTGCTTCAAGATAAACTGGCCTCTGCAGAGCCAATGTACAGTGAAGCCCCAGTCCAAAGTTGGCCTGGCTCTGGGGCCCGAGCACCTGACTTCCTAGCTAAGAATTTGATAAACCAGAACATGCAACTCCAAGAAAATTAGGTCTCCCTTCCTATAGCAATGGTCTGCTACAAAGTGCCAGGAAATAGCCAAGATCCTTTCTGTAAGGTTGCATATAAAAATAAAATTTTCAGAGAATCCTTGCACTTTAAAGGGCTAGGCAAAACACCAAGTGACGAGTCCTCAGAAAAACCCCAAAAAATAAAGACAAAAAGGACTAGGATAGTGTCTGCATTCCCTTGGGTTCCCATTCCGGGATGTGCAAGGCCGGGCCCATTGCTCAATCAGGGCCACAGTCAGAGTTCCCTTCTCCCAAGTGGTTCCTGATGCTAAGCACCAGCAGGCCCTTGTCACCACACTCACCCCCTGAGATCCATGATCCCCAGTCCTCTGGGAACTACAAGCCTTCATCTCCACTGGGGCTGGGGACGTGTCTGCTATACTCTCAAAGGTTGGGGGGGGATCTCTTTTATTTTAATTATGTACTGGGAACCACAGACAAATATAATTAACTCAAAAATTGTTTCACAGCTGACACATCCAGCTTTTCCTCCTACAGAGTATTAAAGGTATAAATGGAGTGTGTATTCTTCAGCTCAGAGTCACACCAAAACATGCGTTCCACATGAAAATTCTCATTATAAAATTATACGGCAACCCGGTTTTCAAAATCATATTTTTAAAATAAGAATTCCACCTACTCATGCCACTGGGGAACTCACTGTTGATAAAGCACACAAAAATGCGTGTCTACCCTCCATAAATTCACAATCTAGCAGAAGAGTGAAGACATGAAGGCAAATACCTCTAAAACTGTGTAGAGAAACAGGGAGTGGCCAAGAGGCAGCCGTGACCCAGAGCTGAGGGGGCTCAGAAGTAACACGCTTCTAAATGGGGAAACCCAAGGCATTCAGTACAATTTCAGTCATCTAAATAAGAGTTATATTAAAAAAGACAAGAGCAAAACTAACGTGATTCAAAGAATGTGACTATATCTTGACAAGTAGAAACAAAAAGTTGACAAAACACCTGCTTTTCTTTCTCTGCATGATTTTTACACAAAAATCAATACTGTATTTATTCCACATAATTGTGCTTCACTGATCAGACATGCTGTCCTATCGTCTTCTGGATTATCTTGTTTTCCCGCCTCATTTGCTGTCCGCCTCCAAACTCTTCCGTGTTATCTTACAACATTACTGCAAAGAAAATTTTAACTGAATTTGCAATGTGAAATCATCGATTTGTTTTTTCAAGTTTAAACAAACAGAAGTAACTGCCAGATATTTCATACGGAAAAGCTCATGGAAGGGAGCATTAGACTTTCGTGGAGCTCCATCCCCGGAGCAAAAGTGTTAGGAAGTGGAATTTTAAAGTGAACATGAAAGGTGAGCACTACGCAGAGGAGCTCAGAGTAGAGAATTCTCTCCCACTGGAGGAACCGGGGCGGACTCGCTTGAACTAGCAGTGGGAAGAGACCTGTTCTGCGAGATACTTGGTAGGGTCTCACGTGTCCTGCAGCGGGGTTTACAAGTAATTTTTCTCCAGTTCTCTGAATGGAGAGGCTGTACAAAGGCAGGAGAGCAAAAGAGAACATTTTGAGGAACCAATCAGAAGTTCACCTCTGATGAAAACATGGTGCCCTCCCTTGGCAGAGCCAGCTGGGCAAATGTGGATGTGAGGAAGTGGAGTCAAGACAAAGGGAAACCTCAACTGCAACCTCAACAGAAAATGGGACCAACATGCAAGGGGAGACAGCAGTGAGAAAGATGGAGGGCCCTGGAGGGGAGGCAGGAGATCCTAAGGACACCGGAGGAAGACTTCAGGAGCCCTGGGAAGGGCAGAGGAGGAAAGGGCAAAGGAGGAAAGGGAGAGGAGGGGAGGGCAGCCTTTCAAGGTGATTCCAAGACAATACTGCAGGGACTCAAAGCCAGAGACTGTCACCATGGCTACTGTGCCTGCTCCCACACCCCCACTTCTTGGTTGCTCTTCTCAGAGATGAGAAAAGAAGAGAATTCCCAATACCTTGAGCTTCTCCAGGCACTGTGCAAGCCATATTAATTGGGTCTCAAATTCGTTGACTCTTGTTTCTCGCCAAGGCTTGCGCAGTTGAGGCTGAGACCCTGGGGTTGCTGGCCAGAGACACAGACGGCCTTTCGGTGTTGTTCTACTCGGGCCTCTAGTTGATGTCAATTCTCTACCAAACCAGGCGAGGGCTGGGGCTCATCCTGAGGAGGGCTGATAACCATGGCGTGGGTGCTGGTCACAGACACTCCCAGGATGGCGCCTCTTGATGTCAAGGCAAAAAAGCCAGAGTCTCTGATCTGCACTGCATCACAGCAGCTCTCTGTGGTGCTGCTGTCCCAGCCAGTGCTGGTCTGAGTCTCCTAGGCCCTGGATGGCACTGCCTGTGCTGCACAGCCTCAGTGCTGATAGGAACAGCATGGCTGGGCCTGCAGTGCTCTCCAGGGTGCTCAGAAGGGGCCTGGGGCTATTATGGTTTGGAACAAAGACGGCCCCCAGAAGGCTCATATGTTCAGAGGTGGGGCTCTTGGAAGGTGATTAGATCATGGAGAACTAACCTCAACAATGGATTGACTAATTTACTGATGAATTCACAGGCAAATGTCCTATGAGGAGGTAGGGCCCAATGGGATGGAGAATCACCGGGCCTTCAAAGGATGTATCCTGTTTGTAGCCCCTTCTCTCTCTGGCTCTCTTTCTACTCTCTCTGCTTCCTAGATTCCATGACTTGTGCAACTTGCCTCCACCATGTCCTGCTGCGTCATTTCTGCCATGGACTGAAACTTCTGAAACCATGACCAAAATAAAATTATATATGTCAGGTGTTTTGTCCCAGCAACAAAAAACTGGACTAACGCAGAGGTCAATGAGAAAGCTCACATTGGAGGCTCACAATCTCTATTCTTGCCCTCCTTCGCCTCATCCCTTCTGGATGTACAGCTTCCTCCCTTGGCAAGTGTCTTCTCCAGGTAAATAAACACCTGCCGTGAGACACAGGAGGCCACTGCCCCACCGACTGGTCAGATACACCCTGCACTGTCAGAACCCTCACCACAGTCCCAGCCCGGGACTTCTGACCCTTGGTGGACAACACTGATGTTACCTACCAAAAACTTGGATGAAACAGCAGAGGGAGTGTTTCAGGAGGTCCTACTCTGAAACACAGAGTGATCTTGGAACTCTGAACAATTTCCAACAGCTTTTCGTCTTGATGCTAGATGTTTGGAATAGGGATAAGGAGTGTCTTAGTCCATTCTGGCTGCTATAGCAAACAGCTTAGTACACAGACCGAGTAGCTTATGAACAACAGAAACATATTCTTACAGTCCTAAATGAATAGATTCAGCACTGGTAGATTCAGTGTCTCGGGAGGGCCCACTTCCTGCATAGATGGTGCCTCCTTACTGTTTCTTCCCATGGTAGAAAGGACCAGGCACTCTCTGGGACTTCCTTTATAAAGGCACTAATCCCCATTCAGAAAGGATTTACCCTCACAACCCAACCACATTCTAAAGGCCCCATGTGCTAATTTCATTCCATTGAAGGTTCAGTTTCAACACAGAGGGCTCAGAGGCAGGATGAACTAAACCAACTGAACTGCTTGGGCCCACTAAATGAGCAAAGGAGCCAAAACAAATTTTGCCCATGCCAGAGTAATTTTTGTTCATTCTAAATTTAATAATAGATGTTTAGGTCGAATAACCATTTCCCAGTATGTACCACAACCCACCCACTTACCACACAGACACGCATTATATGAACTTCCTGGAGAGTAAACAGAAGCTCTACATCAGTGAATTCCAGAGATGAAATTATTAAAGCTATTTTCCTTAAAGACTCCCAGAGCCCGTCATAACCAGATGGATAACTGGTAACTGATATTTACAAGCAATCCCTCCCACAGCTGGGGGAACCTGGCTGACACAGGCTGAGACACCAGCAACCTGTGGGCCTCAATTCCAGGCTCCCTTTAAACCCATCGTGGTAGCAAGAGCCTGACGGCTGGTTTTCCCGAGTGCCCTGGCTGTTGAATAGCCCACTTGCTTGAAAACAGATGTGGACTCGGGGCCCGAGCTGCTCTCCATGCTTTCCTGTTCCACCCCATATCACCCAGGCTCTGTGGGTACTTGTCAAAATCTTCATTCACAGGAACACCCTGCACCAGATTCTTCGGAGTTCTCAGAGATCTGGGATGGAGAGTCAGCTCTGCTGCCAAGACCTCAGAATAGCACAGAATGAAATCTGCCAGCTTGCAGCTTAAAACAGTCAGCTCACCTTTGCAAGAGAAGTAAGT